AGCGCTTCTAAGTTGACCGGGTTCTTGAATACTAATAAAAAGACGATAAAAACGAACTGTTAAGCTTAGTTTTCTGTTATATATTTTATTATTCATATAATTAATCATTACATTCCTGTTATTATTAATATTTATCACAACTGAAAGAATAACTAGAGGGGGAAGAACCATTGGAACCTGCTAGGGCAAATTATTAATTTGTGACTTATGAGGTACAGTCTGAAGACACGTTTTTTTACGTGGTATCTCTAGTAGGCCTAATACAGGGACAATTTTCAGGAGAAATAATATTGAGCATTATTATAATATTTATAAAGTTGTTTACCAGCTATTGTTTTTTAATTTTCTTTGATGGTTCTAATATTGCAATTCAGGATCTAATTCACTATCGGAGATGAACAATAACGGGAGTTAGAATTGGCATCAATATGGGTAGTTCATCGTCAAATTCAGTTTTTTTTGATATTTCGACGATGTTCTGCAGGTTTCACCAGAACAATTGAGGCACACTGTAGATGGCTCAACTCTAAACTCTCTCACTGAGAAATAATTCTGTTCCGCTAGCTAACTCAGGATGTTTTTGTAAAATTTTGATGGATTTAAGTTTGCTGATCTCGTAAACTACTATTGTTGCGTCGCATTATGAAGAAGCAATTAGTATTATTGACTATATACACAGCAAGCGCAGAATAGATGATGACTTTCACTACCAAGGAATTTATCACAATTCAATACATGTATACGCTATAGCACACGCTGGAATTCTACCTATTATTTAATGGAACTATTGTTAGAGCATAAGGAAGCTGTCTGTATGTACGTACGTACATTACATCGTACAGATTACAAATCTTTAAATCATGTAACACCTTTTCAGCGGGAGCTAATGGAACAATGTATCAAACTCCTTATACCATTCGAAGCGATTAGTAAAATAACCAGCACATGTATTTCTTGCATCTCTGAAGTGATTCCACATTTTATTACATTTTTCAAATACCTAGAGAAGGAAGAGATTGCATATATATATATATATATATATATATATATATATATATATATATATATATATATATATATAATAGCACTACGAGCCTAGTAGGCCCATGGCTTGAGCTGTTATTGTTTTCCATTTCTTCCTATTAGTAGCCTTGCCCTTCCATCTTTCTATTCCCAGTGTTTCTAGGTCTTTCTCTACTTCTTGCTTCCATCTACTTCTCGGCCTTCCTCTCCTTTTTTTGTACCCATTGTATGCATCAGAATCATTTTTGGTACTCGAGAATTTGTCATTCTTTCTATATGCCCTAGCCACCTGAGTCTCTGAGCCTTTACTACTCCCACTATACTAGGATTCTTGTACATATCTTCTAATTCTTTATTTGTTCTTCTTTTCCATGTATTGTCTACTATCTTGCCTCCAAATATCTTTCTCAAAACCTCCCTTTCCCATATTTCGAGCATACCTGTTTCGCCTTTGTTCAGTGTCCACACTTCACTGGCGTAGGTTACCACTGGTTCTATAACTGTTTTGTAAATCCTTATTTTGGCATTCCTAGATATCTGTTTACTTTTTAATAGCCTGTTTAATGAGTACACGCATCGGTTTCCTGCCATTATTCTTGATTGGAGCTCCTCTCTAATATTTGGTTTGCATGTGAACATCGACCCCAGGTATGTAAATCTTTCCACTGCTTCAAATATATATGCTTTTTCACCCTCTACTTCTATTTTTAGATTTCTTCCTTTTTGTTCACTGTGATCTATCCATTCCATGTATTTTGTCTTACTGCTCTCAGTCTTGGACAACGTTATTTGTATCATTCTTATAAGTTTTCTACTGATACCCAATTCTTCTAGTGCTTTGCTCATTTGGTTCCGTTTTATTCTATCGTACGCTTGTTTGAAATCAATGAAGAGGACTCTTGGCAGATTGTGTTGATAACTTTCCGCTTGCAATTCTCTGAGCGTAAATATCTGATCTGTTGTACTTCTACCAGGTCTGAAGCCACATTGGTACTCGCCGACAATGTTTTCTATCACTCCTGCCAATTTGTCCTTTATACACGCTGCAAGAATTTTATATGCAGTATTCAATAGTGATATCCCTCTGTAATTTTGACAATCTGTCCTATCGCCTTTCTTATAAAGTGGGCATATAATTGCATCTGTCCATTCTTGTGGTAGTTGTTCTTTAATCCAAATCTCCTTTATTAATTTGAACATTTGCTCCTCTAGCGTTTTCCCTCCATATTTGAACATCTCTGCAGTTATATTATCACTTCCTGGACTCTTGTTATTTTTTAATTTCTTTATTATTTCCTGTATCTCGTTTCTGGTAGGGGGTGTTCCTTATGTCTCATTTATTTGGTTCCTATGTTTCTCCGTTCTTATAGGCTGTGGCTGTTCTATCCTGTTTTCGTCATTTAGCAATTCATCGAAGTATTCTTTCCATCTAGCGGCTATTTCATTTTCTCCACTAATGGCGTTTCCCTCTTTATCTTTGTAAAATATTGTTTTCTGTTGGTATCCTCTTTTTTCATTTTTTACTCCCTGGTATAAATTTCTAATTTCTCGATTTTTGTAATTTTCTTCTATTTCTTTCAGCTGATTTTCCATGTACTTTCTCTTTTTCATTCTCAAAACTTTTTTTACGATTTTTCTTTGTTTTTCATATCTGTTTCTTGTTTCTTCCGTATCATTTTTGATCATATCCATCCTTAGTTTACTTCTTTCTTCAATTTCTTTCTGGCATTCTTCGTCAAACCAATCCTTTTTCTTTTTAGTTATATTTTTATTGCATTCTTTAGCTGTGAATCTGCTGAATTTTGTCCCAGTCCTTGTCTATGTGCCCTTCTAGGTGTATTTCATTTAATTTTCTATCGATACCTTTTCTATACATTTCTTGTTCTTCTTGCGTTACAAGCCGCACTGGTTTATTTGTGTTTATTTTTTCTTTTGCGATTTTTTTCTTCGGTATCAGTTGAGCCATTTTAATTCCTAACATGAAGTGATCCGAGTCAGCGTCTGGTCCTCTGTATGTTCGCACGTTCTTTATACATTTTCGGTCTTCTCTCTCTATTAGTACATGGTCAATTTGATTTAATGTTTTTCCATCTGGGGATCGCCATGTTGCTTTGTAGATGGTTTTCCTCTCGAAATATGTACTCATTACTAGCATATTTTTTTCTTTGGCAAAATCTATCAAAAACTGCCCGTTCTCATTACTTTCTTCGTGTTTGCTAAATTTTCCTATAGTTGTTCTATATATTTCTTCTTTTCCTATCTTTGCATTTGCGTCCCCCAGTACTACTTTAATGTCATATCTTGGAATACTTTCAAATACCCTATTAACTTCACAGTAGAAATCCTCTTTTACTTCAATATCTTTTTCTTCTGACGGTGAGTGAATGTTAATGAATGCGATTTTTTGATATTTTCCTCTTATTATTAGACAACATAGACGATCAGATATTGGTTTAAACTCTACAATTGATGCTTTTAACGCTTTATTTACCATAAATCCTGTGCCTAATATTCTGTTTCTGCCTCCACTATTAAAAAATACGCTATTTTCAATTTCCAGCATTTCCTGGCCCAGTTGCTTTGTTTCTTGTAGTGCCACTACGTCAAATTTAAACTTTTCAATTTCTTTAGTTAAGTGTTTCAGTTTTCTTTTCTCAAAAGTACCCCTTACGTTCCACGTTCCTACCATTAAGTGATCTTTTGGATATGTGTTTCTATTGCCTTTTTTTGTATTTTTTATCTTTAAATCACCCTTTCCTATGACAATGTTACCGGTATTCATGTCCTTGTTCCGTGCGTTGTTCGTCTTTGTATTTTTACTATCATAGCCGTTTTCTAGTTTTTTGAGTTTGTTATTTCCATTTTATCTTCCTTGCTATTTCACTTCCATTCAACACCATTTATCATAATTTTCCTTGCTCCTATTTTGACTTCGTTTCCTTTGTTTCTTTCCTCTTGTGCAATTTTTCTTATTGTTTTTTGAATTCCTCTTTCTCTCACCGTTGTGTCATCGTTGATGTATACCTTTTCCTTTTTGACGTCCTTTAACTTTGCTTTATTCTTCATAACTTTTATCTTTTCTTGTTGGTTCTCCATTTCTATTAGGCATGTTTTTGGACCTAGTTTGTGGGCCGTCTTTATTTTGGCCTCTACTGCAAGGTAATCTTTTATAAAATTGCCAATTGCTTCCTTCGATACCAGCTGATCCTGCGTATCAATTGCTAGCCCGTTCATTACCACATTATTTCAGATAAGAGAGTGTTGTATTTGCAATCAGAGATTGCAAATACAACACTAAATTTATAATAATGAGTTGTCATGAGTTAAGCTGTACCTATGATGATTCTCCTCCAATTCGTAAGAAAATAAACATCAATAAAAATAATAAAAAATAAAATAAACGGAAATACACGACAGTTTTGGAACTGTTTTGATAAAGTCGCTACAGACGACATGCAAAATTATTTTTATTTGAAAGCTACTCGCCTAAATCGGATGGCAGAAAATCCTCTTTTTAGGCTCCAAATCCTTTCATCCTCTTTAAATGGAAAACCATGTTTTTTATTACATATTAGGATTTTACGTGAAGAAGTAAATAAGTTTTATTGAATTTTCTTCGATTCGCCATAGATGGCGCTGTCATCACAGAAAAAATACAGATTAGAAGTCTACAAACTAATTTTGAATACAGTTTGTTAAGAATATTTTGTAGGATCAGAATCTGCAATAAAAATGGGTGTTATTGTTTAAGATTTTCAAGTTGCAGCCTGCCCACCCTCAGAGGGTGGGGTCGTGGTGTTTTTTTCCTCCAAAGTTAAATAAGTTTTTTTTAATTTGTTAAAAAGTTTTGTGGTTAATTATTATCCATTTTTGCAATCTAACAATTGACTTATTAATAACATCACCTTTTGTATAATTAATATTATCGAAAAATATCTGTACTACTGTTCTGGTATTAATAAGACGTTTTGTTTTAGATTTCCGTCGATGTTCGATTTAGAGTTTAATAATATTTATTGGCAAACTCTTCGTACTAGCAATGGTACCTTCCAATTATATGGTGCTTACTTAGATAATAGGCCAAACAACAGGTTAGGACCAACTGTTAGAATCCTAGGTATGATTGATAGAATAGAAGCAAATGTGCCTACTTATTGTCAGTTTTGGTTTGACAGTAAAAAGGATCCTGTCATGGCCAAGACCTTTGAATATAAGTATATTTGGTAAGTAAAAGCAGCTGGTACTCTAAACCCATTTTAATACACTAAAAATTTAAAAATTAGTGCAGCTTTGCGTATTATGATGCTTAACTGTTTAAGGATAGAGCAACAAAAACTAAAAAAAAAACAGTAGGAGTAAAAATAAAAAACAACTATAGATAGATATAATATAAATAAAAAAAAAAACTTTTTTTTCCGAAGCCGTCTGTTATAAACCCATACACCTTCCAGAATTCTGGAATCCTATACCTGTTTGTAAAGTCTAGTATATGGGTGCCGTATATTTTTTCAGTCACGTGGTCATCGAGCAAAAAGACAAAAGAGGGAACCTAATCCTTATGAAAAGGAGACCAAAAAAGTGGCCTCTGATGGCGGACACATCCGGAAATGCGAATGAGCCAAATTTAAATTTTCCGACACTTATTAACAGTAGCTATATAATATTTTTCAGAATGTGTCTTAGACGAAAAAGTTTTAATTAATTATTAACGGTAATAGTCTAAAATGCGACACAATTGTTAAAAAACTTCAATATAAATAAGATTTCATGTGACATTTGGGACAAGCAATAACATAACCCAACTAAATTTGATGTCGAACAAGGAGTGAGACTCTCTTTCCTTGTTTAATGTGGCCTCTAAAGATCGCACTTCCTGTCTAACAATATTTTTGCCCCAATACCTTTAAATTCCCTCTTTTGTCTTTTTGCTCGATGCACGAGTCTAGCTACCATATATTATCTAATAAAAAACATTTACCTTACCGTGAAATTTTAGAAATGTCGAGTTATGATGTTAAAAAACTTTAGCTATGTTGTTACTAGCTAAAGTTTTTTATATTTATATTAATAGTTTCATATTTATGTACTTTGTTACTCTAATTTGTTACTCACCCTGTTTGTCTAGTATCTCTTTGTACGTTTGTACACCTGCTATGTAAATTGTTCTTTTGGTCTTTTCTCCGAGTAATCTCAATTCTTTAAAGTATGTACTTATTATACGCTGCTTCATCGTCTTTTGGCCCAAACGCAATTATAGTTTTTGTATTCTTCCATTTCTATTTGAACGATTCGCTTCGACGATTTTTCATCCAGTCAACGCATCCAGGTGGACCTCCATTTGTCATGTGGTCTTTATAGTGCACACGAGGAAATACAAATAATGGTGGAATAGTTTGACCTGCTGCATTTATTTATATAAGGTACCATTATAACATTAATTCCCCTTTCTGCGGAGATTGAACACACAAGTTGTTTAATAGTCTTAGGCTCTAATATTTTAGATGGTTTGTGTACTGTAAAATTTGAAGTTTCATCCAAGTTATATATACGTTCAGATCCAAATTGGTACGTCTTCATAACATCAGTGTAATTATTAAAAAATTTTCAACATCGTTTTTATTAAAACTAGTAACTCTAGCTAAACTTGTCGCCTCCGGTTTCCTTAGATTGTACCTTAATATCGCCGGCCATCTCCTTCTATATTGAACTAGACATTCTCGGCCTACAATTTGCTTGTCTTGTCAAGAATCTGGTATTTTTTAACCAAGACTGTTGCATAATTAAATGCCAATTTTCTAGTTCAGGTTTTAGTAAGTCCCAAATGAAATAGGCAGCTTTTTCTAGATAATCAAACAGTTGCTTCTCTTCTGCAACACTAAATACTTTATGAAAACAGTAGTTTGGTGGCGAAACTATGACATTATTTATACTAGTAACCAAATTGTGTTACTTTGTCATATAATTGTGTAACGTGGATTTACTTATATTCCATTTGTTCGCCACACTACGTATAAATCAATTATTCGTCAAAACTTCATGTATGTACCTCCTACAATGACTCTTGGGGTACATGTTCCCGTTTTCTACCACGTTTACTGCGAGGTACTGTAAAAAATAATTCTCGATACACAAATTACTCACGCCGAAAACGCTCGTGTACCTTTAGACACGTCCAGAGGTAGAAGCAGCGGTGTGTCCACAGGTACAAACATCGCAGATTTAAACACGCTAATCTATTTTAGGTTAAGATACAACTAAAAATATTATGCATAAGTATTATCTAGATTATTGCTATTTATTGTGATATTAAAAGTTTTGCAGGTTGATGTAGAGCCGCCGACGAGTTAACATCGTGAGCGTTTCAGCATCGAATATATCGTTTAAAAACTGGTGTAGTGTGCCTGATGTGGTTTTTGTACGATAAGAACAATTAATACCTTTTTAATAAAAAGTGATTTGAAACATTATTGTATAAAAATAGTTATTACAAATAATTTGCCGGCCCTATAGGCCAGGCATTGAGAATTAAATTGTTTAGTTAATACCAACAATTGACGTGTAGCTTATGTGTACATGAGTAGCACAGGAAATAACATCAAACCAACTGTTCCTTCCACAACAATGTCTCAACAAGATTCATCAATCCGCAACAAACAAGATACATCAAACAACAACACTTCTACAATGTCGTATGTAACAGCAGCAAAAACAACACCGAAACCAACCTACCCAAAGAAAGAACAAGCAATCATACTCCATGCCGAAGACAGCCTCAAATTATTTGATTATGTAAAAGCAATTGGTGATATTATCGAACCCAGGAACATCTGTTTCGCCTCCAGAATCTCCAACAACAGGGTCTGTATATATTTAACTAATAAAAACATAGTAGATGAACTTGTAAAATCTCATCCTACCATACAAATCGGCTCCCTAACTTTAAACATACGTAAACTCGTTTCTCCTACAAAGAGAATCTTAATATCCAATGTCTCACCGTGTATCCCACATGAAATTATCGAAACCGCTGTTAAAAGCCTAGGTCTAAAAATTGCTTCCCCAGTATCATTTCTTAAAGCAGGTATTCCGGGGGATGAATTCTCACATATCCTTAGCTTTAGAAGACAAGTTTATGTATTTCCGCCCTCCGAAACCTTTGAGCTCCAAACCTCCCTTGTGCTCTCTTTCGAAGATAATGAAAACCGCATCTTCCTTTCTACTGACAAAATGGAATGTTTCGTTTGTAAAAGATCAGGGCATGTCGCTTCAAATTGCACAAATCCGCCAGAAAGTACCTCTTCTGACCAGACAATCGTTTCATCTCCTTTAAGAGCCGAATCCACGTCTACTGAAAAAAGCCCAGAAACCAACACTGTACCTTTTACACCAAGAGAGACATCTCCTCCAGTCAATAATATACCACCTACGTCGTCAAATAACAACTCCTCATTAGAACAACCAAGTCAACATATTACAGATACACAAACACACTATAAACGCACACACTCAGAACTTTCATCTCCTAGTGACAGAACTAGCATAACTGAAGAATCCACTCATAGTGAACAAACTAATATTTATGCCGGGTTTTCCAAACCACAAAGCAAGAAAAAACTTAAACGGTCAAATTGTGACTCAACCCTATCCGAAATAGCAAAAACAATTATACGCGAACTTTATAAAGAAACCCCACAAATATTCATAATCCCAGCAGATAACATAATTTCTCTTCTTGAAAATTGTCACGGTAGTAGCGATCCATACACAGAAGCATTAAAATTTACACCGGACATCAAATCACTTATTTGTACGTTATACCAAATCTATCCCAACCTTAATGAAAAATCAACCAAAAATAGGCTAACTCGTCTTATAAAAAAATTTAAGGACAAAACCGAACTCTTAATGGGTGATTCTACAAAATTACCCAATCTTGACTTCTCACATGAAACAACTGACGATGAGTACATCTCTGATACATCTCAAAACTCACAGACATCTCAAAAATCCTCTCATTAACAAATTCATAATTATCCAATGGAACTGCGATGGATTCTATCCTCGCCTGGCACGCATACAACAACTTATTTCCGAAACCAATCCTGACTTTATTTGTTTACAAGAAACAAACTTTACAGAAACGCACAACCCTCATCTAAAAAACTTTATTGGTTATCACCATATCAGAACTACACACCGACGCGCTAGCGGAGGAACAACAATTTTCGCATCAACTGAAATTTTTCACCGTAAACTTCACCTAAACACTGCATTAGAAGCTGTTGCTATAACAGCATGGTGTCCAGAACAAATCACAATATGTAGCTTATATATTCCTCCTAATTATACATTGACAAGCACTGAATTAGAAAACCTAATATCTCAAATTTCTGGCCCATTTATTATGGTTGGAGATTTTAATGCACACAACACTATGTGGGGATCCAAAAATACATATGGTAGAGGTAAAATAATCGAAAATGTCATTAACAATACTGATATTAACTTATTAAACACAGGAAATAGTACATACTTTCATGTTCAGTCAGGAAGCTTCTCATCAATAGACTTAAGCTTATGTGATCCCAAAATACACCCGTTACTAACCTGGCATACTCTAGATAGCTTATTTGATAGCAATCATTTTCCCATTATTATTACTAACAATGCAGTCAAATCGGAATATACAAAAACGAGATGGAAAATCTCAAATGCTAATTGGGAACTCTTCAAACTAACTGTAAAAGAACGCACAGATGTACTCAAATATCAAAATAACATAGACGAAGACATAAAACAACTAAACCATTGCATAGTTTCATCCGCAGAGGAGTGTATCGGCAAATACAAAATTAACCCAAAACAAAAACACGTTCCCTGGTGGAATGACTCATGCAAAACAGCAATACAAGAAAGCAAAAGAGCTTTAAACAGATTCCGAAAATCTCGCACTCTAGCTGACTTAATAGATTTCAAAAGGCTCAGAGCAAAAACAAAACGAATAATAAAAAACAGTAAACAAAATTCTTGGAATCATTTTACCAGCTCTATTACCAAAGATACCCCACCGACTCAAGTATGGTCAAAAGTAAAGAGAATGAAAGGACATTACACATCATACAAAATTCCAGCTCTCACCATTCAGGACAAAATAATTACAGATGACCAACAAATCAGTGATATGCTTTCCCAACATTTTCTCAATAAATCAAATAATTCTACTAATCCACATAACGAAATTGATGCTACTCAAAAAACGTACAATACTAATCATCCCATTAATATACCTTTCAGTTTCCAAGAACTAAATGATGCCCTTTTTTCAACAAAAAGCTCAACTGCAGGTCCTGACGATATTCCCTCTATCTTTTTAAAAAATCTTCACCAAAATACATACGAGAAAATACTCCAACTGTTCAACAAAATTTGGTCTTCTCAAAAATTCCCGTCACTATGGAAACAATCCCTAGTCATTCCTATCAAAAAAGGCGATCAATCCCTAGACACGCTGAACTCATACAGGCCAATCTCTCTCACCTGTACATTATGTAAACTTTTGGAAAAAATGGTTAATAAAAGATTACTTTGGTACCTCGAACAAAATAAAATCCTCGACCAATTTCAATCAGGCTTCAGACCAAATCGATGCACCTTGGACAATCTTGTACTTCTGCAATCAACAATTGCGACTGCGCTATCTAACAAAAATGAAGTCATTGCAATTTCCCTTGACATCGAAAGCGCTTTTGACTCTATACCGATTTCTGTGATACTAAACAAACTAAGCCAGAACAAGCTATCTGGTAATATATATTCGTTTATAAAAAATTTTCTCACAGACCGATCCTTTAAAGTAATTACTAATGGCAAAACTTCCTCCCAGCACACAACCACAAACGGTGTCCCACAAGGGTGTGTTCTAAGCAGCACACTATTTCTCCTTAGTATTAACGATTTTAGCTCATTTATAAAGGACCCTGTGCAATACGGAATATATGCCGACGACATAGTATTATTTTGTCATGGAAAGGTCACTTCCAGCACAAATGCTTTACTACAAAATACGCTAAGTAAAATAAACAACTGGGCCAGTCAATCCGGCCTAAACTTTTCCTCATCTAAATCCAAAGTTATTCATTTTACTAGAAGACAAAACACGCAATCTCCAACCATTACTCTGAATGGAAATTTTCTCCAAGTAGTAGACCAAATAAAGCTTCTCGGCATTATTTTCGATAAAAAACTTTCCTGGAGACCACACATTCGAGAACTTAAGGGTAGCTGCCTACAAAGAATGAATCTCCTTAAATCACTAGCCCATTATAGTTGGGGAGCCGATGAGGAAACACTACTAAAAATATATCGAGCTCTTATTCGCTCCAAACTTGACTATGGTAGTGTTCTCTACATGTCATCAAGTAAATCACTACTACGTTCACTTAATGTCGTCCACAATACTTCCCTTCGACTTTGTTTAGGAGCATTCCGATCCAGTCCAGTGGAAAGTATTCATGTAGAATGTTTCGAACCTTCGCTTCATCTAAGACGACAACAACTTCTACTGCTCTATTTCGCTAGAGTTTCAGCAAATCTCACAAATCCCACAAGAAACCTCATCTGTAATAGACAATTACCAGCTACTAATAATCCTAGAATGGTACCGTCCACTATACAGATGCTACTTCCTTATTCAGATATCAATCTGTTGTCGACCAGCCCTTTCACGGTCCCTCAAACCCCTCCATGGATATGTAAACTTCCAAATTTTAATATCGAATTATCCAAATATAATAAGAATGAAATATCACCTTCCATTATCAAACAAAGATTCTATGAAATAATACATCAATGCAACTTCGATAAGATCCTTTACTCAGACGCATCTAAGACTGAAGAAGGTGTTGGTTGTGCTGTTACAACGACTACAACCACCGTCAGCTTGTTTCGACTCTCCAGCAATTGCAGTATTTATACTGCTGAACTATATGGAATACTACAGGCGGTGAAATCTCCACTCAATGATGTAAAAACTGTAGCAATCTGTACAGACTCTCTGTCCTCCATGCAGTCCATAAGAAACGTACATTCTATCCACCCAATAGTTCAAGAAATCCAGAGCATATGTAATCGTCTTCAAACTAATGGAGTAGCAGTAACGATATTGTGGGTCCCATCACACGTTGGTATTCCAGGTAACGAAAAAGCCGATCAAGCAGCAAAACAAGCATGTTCTCTTAACGTTACAACAGATATTCAAACATCATTAGATCTAAAAAGAACAATCAAACATAAAATAATGGACCTTTGGAATGATCAATGGAAAAAAAGCAATACCAAAAGCGTTCTACAACCAAACATTTTCTACCACAAGCTCTCACCAATGAAAAGAAAGGACAAATCAATCATTCGAAGATTGAGAATAGGACACACACGCCTTACACATGGACACCTAATGAATTCCAGTAATCCGATTTTGTGCCAGTATTGCAACACCACGACTTCCGTAGCACATGTACTTCTTGACTGTCAACACTACCTAGCGGCCAGAAGAAAATTTAATCTTGGTAACAACCTAAAAGACATTCTTACTTCAAACGACAGTAACTACGAAAATATATTAAACTTTTTAAAAAACACAAAGTTATACAATTTAATTTAAAACAAAATGTATTAAAAAAGTGTATTGTAACTAATTTGTACTGCATGTAAAATATTAACCATGTAAATATAAATGTAAATTGTACCTGTGTCAATGACCATTAGCTGTCGAGACACATATGTTCGAAATAAAAAAAAAAAAAAAGTTTTGCAATAACTACAGCGATTGTCAAAATAAATATTGGTGAATATTGCTAATAAACTTACTTTTATCAATAAAAATCTTCAAAACAAACTCGGCCTGTAAACACACAGTAACAAACACGTTGTTCACAAGCTGTTGCCAACTCTACATAAAATATTATAGTTGGTGCTTTTTAGCTTCATACTGTTTGTATTTTTCGAAATACTTAAGTTCTCCAAAGGTACAAACTCCCAGAGGTACACGTCCTTCTCCTGCATATACGGCTGACTATATTTTTTACACTACACTTTGTAGTGTAATAATATCATTTTTATTTTTTTGATTTTTAACAAGTAAACTTATATAGTTTCTTTTTAACAGGTACAAAAAATGGGGTAATTACAAGCATGGGATCTATCAACCGTATCTTATTGCTTGTATACTTCCACCTAAATTCAAGGATCAAGTTCCACAATCTGTTTCGTTAGTAGAAAAACAATGTGATAATGCCACTAACAATTTACGAATTATCTTCGAGAAACCGAAAGTCAAGAAGGACTTTGCTGTATGTGTTAAAGGTAAGAAAAAGTGTTGATAATTTAAATGTCATGAAATATTATTGTATGTATAGCCGACTCACTAAGCTTGGAAAAATTGTAACTGAATCATTGCTGGAAATATACAACATAGATTTCCTACCACTCTTCATTAATAGCTGAAATAAACCTGCTTTTTTTAATTTAAAGAAGAAAAATAAGCATGAATAATGGGAGTAGTATCCGCTCTGCGTAGCTTAAAGCTACGGTTTGTTAGAACAGTGCGCAGCGCACAGCATACACGTACAGCAGAATCTGTTGTACTCGACTCACGGCAGTTTTGGGTGAGTCGGTTTGTTAGAGTCGTATGGCATACATAGATTCTGTTGCGCTGAAGTTTAAAAATTAGTTCCAAGTTTGTTCTATTAAAGCTGTGGTTTGTTAGAACACTGAGCAACGCATAACTCACAGTCAGTCGAACGCCGCGCACGCTCGTCAAAATCAAAAAAATCAAAGTGTCGATTGTTAGTCCTTTTAAATAATAAATATTTGTAAAATATACAGTGTTTTAGTAAATACGTACAACTAACTTCAGGGAGTGATTCTACATGAAAAATAGTGACAGTTTGCTATATAAGCGTTTGTCCTCAAATGCTTCCTTTTCTGAGATACAGGGTGTTGAATCTTTTCTTACAACTAAGGATATTTTTATTGCCCTGAAACCGGTTGAGATATGCAAATAAAATTGGGTTGATTTTAAGAGTTGGTTATTGCAAATTTTTTGACACACAATTAGGAATTTTATATTCATCGTTGGCGCACATACGGATAATGGTCTCATTTTTTTTAAAGAAAAAAATGGTACGCTACTGAGATTTTTCAAATTAAAAAATCAATTTTAAATTCTTCGTTTAATTTGTGACAAAAAGTCTTTCTAATTTTTTGTAGTTCTCAGTGCCACAAAACTCACAAATCAATTATTTTTTGAGTTATATAATGCATTTGGAAACGTACGTACCGAGGTATCCACGTGGATATCCTACCCAGGTCATGGGGTAGGAAAACCACTTTGTTTTTGATAGGAAAACATTAAGAACTGTTATTCCGATACCATAGTAGTCAAAAACCGACAATTTGAAGCTCTAAAACTAAGTCGTAATTAACGTCTGAGTCTTAGGGCGCTAGTTAAGGTTACTATCCAAATCAATTCTCAAGTATTTAATCACGCTATTGACCTGTAGTAGAGAGCTTTTTATTTCGGCGAGTCTTCCCTTTTTAAAGTAAACATTATCTGTCTTGGTTTTAAACTTTTATGTTTAACTCACCACAGTTTACACCAGCTCTCAAGTTTAAGCAGGTGGTTTTGCAATATCGATGCTATAGGATTTGAAATCATGGTAACAATGAGATCGGCGTATGCAGCGATTGTTGTATTGGAGTTGGTTGGGAGATCTCATTGTTATATTAAGTAAAGGAACGGTCTTAGTAAGCTTCCTTGTGAAAACCTAGAATATATTGAAAACAGGTTAATGATTTCCCCACCTCTTTTCAGATAGGAGCTTAAAGGTGAGCTTATGAGATGATAGATTCTTCAACTCTGATAAGGTTGAAAGTAATGCTTTATCTATGTCAGTTTTAGTTCAAGTATCACCAAATTCCATGATTTTTTATGTTGTATTAATTTTTTTGAGTAGTCTACTGAAAGACTATTCAAATTTGTTTTATCTTCTGCATGCTTAGTGAGCTGCCTTTTTCACTGTTTTCTTTTCTTTTTTATGGTTTATGTGAGCAAAATATGAGTAGGGGTTGTGTAATGTGTGGGGGCAATAATTATTAGCTAATATATATATATATATATATATATATATATATATATATATATATATATATATATATATATATAAACTTCTCTTTCTTGATGTTTTTTTAAGTTTAAAATTAATCATCATCCAGCCTCAAGAGTCCACTGCTGAACATAGGCCTCTTCCTCATGTTTCCAACCCCGTCTATCTTGCGCCGCTCTTATCCAGTTTTTATTGAGTCTTCTTAAATCGTCAGTCCATCTTGTAGGTGGTCGACCGACGCTTCTCTTGTCTTCCCTTGGCCTCCATTCCAATAACCTCTTTGTCCATCGCCCATCTGTCATTCTGGCTATGTGTCCTGCCTATCTCCATTTTAGTCTGGCTATCTTCTCGATGATGTCAGTCACTCCGGTTCTTCTCCTGATGTCTTCGTTTGTTATTCTGTCTCGGAGAGTTATTCCTAACATGGACCGCTCCATTCTTCTCTGCGTGACTCTCAGTTTGGTAGCTGCTGCTTTTGTTAAGGTAAGTGTTTCTGCTCCGTACGTCAAGACTGGGAGGACGCACTGATCAAATACCTTTCTCTTTAGGCATGTGGGCAGCTCACTTTTAAAAGTTTCTCTCAGTTTTCCAAATGCTGCCCACCCAAGGCCGACTCTTCTCTTCAGTTCATGAGTCTGGTTATCTCTGTCAATCATAATTTCATGTCCCAGGTATTTATATCTATCTACGAGTTCTATTTCTTTCCCACCAATACTGATGTTCTGGTTGGGCACCAAATTGGTCATGATTTTTGTTTTCGAGATATTTATATTTAAACCTACATTTTCTGTAGCCACAACGAGTTCCTGTACCATCTCTCTTGCCATACCTAGATCTTCAGCTATTATAAGTATATCATCGGCGAAACGTAAGTTGTTTAGGTATTCTCCATCTATTTTTATTCCCTTTGTCATCCAATCCAAATTCTTAAAAGCATGTTCTAGCACCGTATTAAAAAGTTTAGGTGACATTGGGTCTCCTTGTCTAACCCCCCGTTCTATTTTTATGCTATTACTGTTAGTATGTAATCTGAGGGTGGTTGTTGCCTGCAGGTATATTTTGTATAATAATTTAGTATATCTATAATCTAGCCTGCATTCTTTAAGCGCCTGGAATATTTTGCTTAGCTCAACCGTGTCAAAGGCTTTGTGAAAATCGATAAATATTAGAACTAGAGGTTTATTGTATTCCACTGCTTTCTCTATTAGGGTTTTTATACTTTGTAGATGGTCATTTGTTCCGTAACTTTTTCGGAATCCTGCCTGTTCCCTTGGTTGATAAGTCTCTAATTTTCTTTCCATTCTCTTAACTAGTATTCGCGTAAACAACTTATATATATATACTAAACTATTTGGGGTAAACAGCTTTTCTGGTTCTGCGGGAAACGTTTTTGGAAACCCCATATGTTTATATGGAGTTAAGTCACAATTAATTGTAATTAAAAATACATTTTATAATTGCTGTTTATATCTTCCAAAATATCTTCCAAAATAGATTGCTGTTAAAAAATAGTGGGGTATTATAACCAAAAGTTGTTATAGGTTGGCAGTATTTTCAAATTTCCGAGTGTGGTGTCTTTACCCTCAGGATGATTAAACTGATTATATATATATATATATATATATATATATATATATATATATATATATATATATATATATATATATATATATAGCTTTTCAGATAAATTTATAAAATACAATAAAAAACATAACCGAAAGGCACAGGGACAGGTAAACAACGAAGCAATGTAAGTAGTCGTTTTAGGGCAAGTTAACTGAGCAATCACAGTTATTATCAACAATAAGCAGAGCAATCGATGTTTCAAATTGCACAGCCTTCCCGCTCCTTGAATAGGTAAAAAAGGACAGATGATGTATTGGCCACCTAGGTCAGCGAATTTAAGACCCCTAGACTACCCCTTCTGATGGGGGTATTTAAAAACAAAAATTTATGGTTTTCAACCAGAATCTCTGGATGAAGTAATTTAAAAAAAATAAGCGATAATACTAGTGTGAGGGGGTGTCTTTCCCGGCAAGCTTAAATATGATATAATGTCTCCCTCTTCAAATATTTATTCATTCATTTATTCAAATATATATTATCTGGTTTGAGGTCTGCCTCTACTTTTCTTATTTGCTTTTGGTCTGCATTCAATCCACTTCGTCCAACAGTTGTCTTTCATTCTTCTTATGTGTCCTTCCCAGTTCCATTTTAACAATGTAAATTTTGGATTACATCTGTAACTTTTGTTCGTTTTCTTCATCATTCATCGGACTTGCGACCAGTGAGCTTAATGTTAAACACTCTTTCTTCCATAGCACAAGTTTCAATTATGGTTGAATCCATAATAAATGCAATATCTAAACCTGGGTGAAATAAGAAATTCCGGAATGACAAAGGAACATACAGATCACAATGGAATTAATTATTAAATAATTCATTCCCAAAAAAATAATGAAATCAGAACGCCGCTGGAAGTGTGGAATTCTGCAATGCACATGTCATTTTTGAGAATGAGTCGCCCTCTCCAATTTATTATTGTTCTGAAGCTATTTTCTTGTGGCATTGTAAATTAATTACTATTAAACTGGGAATAAGCCACAATTAAAGATAAAAATACGTTTATTGACGTTTCAATTTCCACTTCGGAAATCGTTCTCAAAATACAAACAGTAAATTAAACAAATTTTGTTTTTTGTTACATAGTGAAAAATTCTTCTAATAATTTAATTTTATCTGACTCATTTATATTGACAATTCAGACATACATTATGCATTTTAAAGTAGACGACTTTAAAATGATATTGCCAATATTGTTGAGTTGCGCTCCTGGGACGACTTTACTTATAAGATAGTTCATTCGATTACATGAAATCAACTTTAACTCGAGAATATCCGTCAGAAAAAAATTTCAAATTTTTTAAAAATTTGAAATAATAAAAAATTTAATAAAAAATTCTAAACAAAATTTCAAACCCACAGTATGGTGGAAGTATGTAGATGATGTATTCTCAATATGGCCTCATGGATCAGAGTTGTTGGACACATTCCTAAATGATATAAACGATAAAGAAGAGACAATAACATTTACCATGGAAAAGGAATATAATAACACGCTACCTTTCCTGGATGTTTTAATCTCTAAGAACGATACTGGATATGAGACTCAGGTCTATAGAAAACCAACACAAACCAATAGATATTTAAATTTCAAATCAAATCACAATATTAATGTAAAAAAGGGAATAATTAAAACCTTATACGATAGTGCCAAAATTACTTGTTCTAATGAAAATTCGTTCTTGGAGGAGAAACATTTGTTAACATCTGTTTTATTAAAAAATGATTATCCTTTATCGTTTATAAATAAGGAATTTTCAACAATCGATCGAATAGAACAGAACAATTTAGAACGAGATCCTACAGCATACACAAGGAATAATATGAGGAAAATAACAATACCGTACATAAAAGGACTATCAGAAAAACTTAAAAGGATAGGAAATAAATTCAACATTTCAACAACATTCAAAACAACAAACACGTTGAGATCTGTTTTGTCCAAAACCAAACCTAACAATGAACAAGAAAGGACAAAGAATTGCATTTATAAAATACCTTGTGAATGCGATCAGTTTTATTTAGGTGAATCATCAAGGCCATTAAATGTTAGAATAAGTGAACATCAATCTTATATTAAAAATAAAGAATTTGATAGATCTCAAATCTGTAAACACGCATGGGATAATGAACATAGGGTTCAATGGAATAATTCAAATGTAGTCCTAAAAGAAACGGATGGTAAAAAAAGAAAAATCAAAGAAGCGGCTCTAATTATGCTAAATGAGGCCAATTGTGTCGCAAATTCCTCGGCAGAATGTAGTAGGATCTGGTTACCAATATTGAAAGAGGAAGTTATTAATAAGAAAATACCAGTATTAGTAAGTCAGTAACATATAGAGGATACATCATTTATGTTTTTTAAATAACGTAACATATAAAATCAGAATTTTGATGTTTATTGAAGGTAAACTAAATTCACGAACAAATACTTACAATGTCGGGATAGTATTATGAGGTTTTTTTCCTGGTTTTCCCTCATAATTTACTATGGAATCACTAACAGGAGAATTTTACTGTCATCATGTCATGTGTTTGTCTTTTTAAAGACGAATTACATGCTATGATTTTTTTCTGACGGATATTCTCAAGTTAAAGTTGATTTCATGTAATCGAATGAACTATCTTATAAGTAAAGTCGTCCCAGGAGCGCAACTCAACAATATTGGCAATATCATTTTAAAGTCGTCTACTTTAAAATGCATAATGTATGTCTGAATTGTCAATATAAATGAGTCAGATAAAATTAAATTATTAGAAGAATTTTTACACTATGTAACAAAAAACAAAATTTGTTTAATTTACTGTTTGTATTTTGAGAACGATTTCCGAAGTGGAAATTGAAACGTCAATAAACGTATTTTTATCTTTAATTGTGGCTTATTCCCAGTTTAATAGTAATTAACTCCAATTTATTGTTGGAGTTTTTTTATAACCATATAATTCGTCCTTGGTAATTAGTTTTATTGTAGGGGTCGGAAGCTTTTATATTTGGTTTTTTCTCTTTGTATGTAGTTTTCCAGAAGGTTTTTTTCATATGTTATCTTAATACATTTTGCTATTTTTACTGTAAATTAACCACAATGTGAATTTAATAAAATATGTTTATTGTGACGATTCGGTATCCACTTTGGAAATCGGAAGTGGAAACTCACTAAAATTGTGGTTAATTGCCAGTAAAAATATTAAATTCGCAATTCTTACTGTTAGTTATTTGGATTTTATTCAACAATATCAGATTTAAATTTGACATATTTTATAGGTATTTTGAAATCGGTTGCAGTTTTTTAAAATTTATTAAATCGATAAAAATCTGATATAATTTTTATTCTTTTAGGACTAGATTTTCTTCATGAAGATTTGTCAGTGCGATTGGTAGAATGGATTGAACTACTAAATCTCTTAGGGGCTGATAAAGTATTTTTTTATGAATTACATGTCCATCCAAACATCAGTAAGGTTTTGAAACACTATGAACAGGAAGGAAAGGTATGTATACCCATTCCACAAGATTTGGTAAAATATATCTATATAAGAAAATACAATTTCTAGATACATGTTACTCCCATAAATCTTGCTGGAGGTCAGCCAAACGCTCCGTCTTTCCAACATCTTTATCTTACTAAAAAAACTAACCAGAAAAGGCAAAATGAACTAATTCCATACAATGATTGCTTTTACAAGCATATGTATGAATACAAGTAAGTACCAAGGTTGTTTTTTTAAATTGCTTTCTTGGTGCGGTGTACGATCTAATTTAGTTGACAATATTTATTTTCCCTTTTATCGACAATGATTATCTATATACCACTGACAAGGTTTTTTTTTAATTCTTGTATTTTTAGATATATTATTCTTTTGGATATCGATGAAGTGATAATGCCATTGGAGGGAACTACATGGAAGGGCTTAATGGACAAAGTTTTACGTAAAGCTTTGAGCACTAACAAAGAAGAAAGAGCGTCATATAATGTAAGAAATGTATACTTTTTGGATGACTTAATACACGACCATGGATGGTTTAAAGATATACCAAAGTAAGTTAAATCAAAGTTCTTATTTCCTGCTTGAACTACACTTACCGGCAGGAAAACCGGAGCCCTGGCATTTTTAAAAATAAAAAAAATTTAATTGTCTTTAAACTTTTATTATTATAATAATGTAAACAGAAACGCAACAAACTGTTTTAAGTAATTTCTAATAAAACTTAAATGCTTATCTGAAAAAAAAATGCATAAAAAATCAGAAATAAACAATACACTATTCTTATCATTTTTAAAAGTACAAAGGTAGCAGTTGGTATTCTATTGTTATTCCTTTGTTATTGTTGATGTGAGTAATTTGTTAAGTCGAATCAAGTGTCAAACATAATTTGAAGTTGAATTGCGTTGATTTAATCTCAAGAATTATGGTTGTAAATCCCGAAACAGCGGCTGCTATTATTGCGTTGCTTCAAGACGAAAGAAGTAAGTGATATGTTGCTCAAAAGTATAAATTATCCAATAGTACTGTGCACCTTATTTTTAAACGTTTCTTGGCAACCGGAGCTTACACTTGACTACATGGAACCTGTCCCCAACGAACAACTAGTGCCCCTGATGATCGCTTCATCCTTTTACAAAGTCTACGTGATCATCGTGCCACTGTTGTACAAATCCGAAATCAACTTCAGTTTATCTAGAATACTAACGTGAGTGAACGAACAATGAGACGAAGGCTTGGAGCAAATTTAAGCAGTCGCAGACCTGCAAGAGGCCTACAACTTCTGAACCGTCATCAAGCTTCAGTTTGCCAGAAACCATACTCATTTTACTGTAAATAATTGGAGGCACGTTTTATTTACCGACGAGTCCAGGTTTACCTTGCGGTCTCTCGATGGCTGCGACAGAGTATGGCGAAGACCACATGAGCGTTTTGCAGAATGTACCTTCAGTCCTAGGGTAGGCTATCAAGGGGACTCAATTATGGTGGGGGTTGGAATTTATCTAGAGGCACGTACAGAATTTTACATGGTTAGAGAGACTCCATAAAAGCCGCCAGGTATATTGATGAAATTCTCCAATATTTTATTGTGCCTTATGTTGGTTTTGTTGAAAATGACTGTTCTGAAGCATGATAATGCCAAGCCTCACAACGCGACAATCAATCAACAGTTTTTAAATGAAGTAAACATTCCTGTAATGAAAGCAAGCCTAATCTAACATGTTTGGGACATGCTTGGGCGAAGGATACAACGTCGTATTTCTGCCCATTTAACCTTAAATCAGTTATAAGAAGCCCTTTTAGAGGAATGATAACTTATTCCTCAACAGGACATTTCTCATTTGGTTTTAGGCATCCCAAGGATAATTTAGAAACATTCATTATTAAAATCAATTTGCCCGGACACATGATTTAAGTTATCATTAATTGAGCGTCATTTTGTTACATTTGCTTACGTTTTTTCCTTAATTTTTAAATCGCTATCTACTAAAACAGCTCTTTGTTTAAAAGTTAAATTTTTATTAAAAATTATCTAAAACAGTTTGTTTCGTTTGTGTTTACCTTATTATAATAATAAAAGTTTAAAGACAATTAAAGTTTTAAGTTATTATTTTAAAAATGCAAGTGCTCCGTTTTTCGTGCCGGTGAGTCTATTTATGGAATTGAGGGTTACTTACAATTTAAGTTCAAGAATAAAACAAAACATAAAGCAACAATACTGTTTTTTTTTCTATTTTCACACAATATAGTAAACTTGAAATGTTTGGCTGCACGTTTAAAAACAGTGTGTAATACTCCCTAACTGAATATTTATTGCTATTTCTACATATTGTTGTTTGTACCTTCTACTAATTTCCACTAATAAAATTCCTGGAGCTGGCTGTATACCATAAATCACAAAAAAATTATTTAAAATCCTTTATAAAAGGTATATAATTAAAAAGAACCTTTTGGGCTACATCACAACATAACGTTTTCGGACTTACTAGTGTATCATCAGTGCATTTACCTGGAATAAGTATTACCACTTTAGTGAATACAAATTTAAAAATTAAATTTTGACCAAGGTTAAAAATCAATATGGTTAACTCACTAGGTGTACATGAGTCAATCCTCTAAATATGTGGTTAAAAACCCTTAAAATATTACAAAATTTTTTATTTATTACATCTTTGTTACAAAGTTGGTGTGATGTTAACGTTTTTAACAGATACTCTGCAATGAGAACGAATGGGGTTGCTGACCCTGAGATAATGTCTCTGCATGGGCTCTAGATATATTAAATTAAACGATATGATGACAAGGAAAATGGATATGACTATCCGGGAACAGTATGTCCCTACTCGAAATAAAATTTCACATTCGCTCGGGTATGCCAGAGTTTGCCTCTGAGATGCCAGAAATAAAAACTTACTTTTTTAATGACAATGGCATTCAGGATATGATTGATAGTGAGTTTTTCAGAAGTAAAAGAACCCATCTGTTAATATATTATAATTTAATAGATTTGATACTTGAAGATAACATTATTAAATGGCTGACTAAATTGTAATGTTAAACAAAATTAATGGAAACGAAAATATAATGATGAATATGTATAGAAATGTAATTTTGTTTGATGTTCAGGGAACTGAGAGGAAGAGGGTCATTATTGCAGAGGGAGAAAATTTTCTCCCATTCTCACAATTTAAATAAATCGGGAAATGTTGAAAAAAAAGCTAAAACTGGTCGTACTTCAAAGATTACCGAAGCATGCTCTTCGGGCACTTAAACTCGACCGAACTTCTCGAGAATTGTATATAAACTGCACTCAAGCTGTTGGTACACCAATTTCAAAAGACACTTGTTTGAGGAGAATGAAAAAATGGAATATGGATTCAAGAAGTTTTTACAAGCAACACTTACCTCATTTTAAATATTACGCATTACGCAAATGAAAAACCACTTACAAAGAAACAAAAAAGAAACCGATTTTTATTGGCAAAAGGACATCGCAACTGGGTTCAAAGGCAATTAGTTTCAGTTATATTCAGTGATAAATCTAAGTTTGAGGTCAGTCAGGGGAAGAATATTGCATATATTGACTAAAAAGAAAGTTAAAGTTCTCGGCATCTGTGATAGTCTGGGACTGTATGTCCTTCCTCTCAATGAGTTTAACTCTCCTTTTATATGAAATTCAACTGCCAGAGATTTATATTTAAGGAGTAGGCGCAGTTAGTGATACAGTGAAATGCTGAAATGCGTAGCATTATGGTTGCAGGAAATGAATACTTCTGATTTAAAATGGCCTTTCGGTAGTTCCGATCTATCCCCTATCGAGAATCTTGGGTATCAGATGAAAAAAAAAAACACTTCGAACTACGCCAGATCACATAATTCCTGATTTAAAGGGAAGTTCAGGAAATTTGGAATAAATTTCAACCAGATTATTGCCAAACATTATTACGCGCTATGCCAATGAGAATTGATGCATTTTTAAAACGTAAGGGTGACTCCACATAGTCAGACTCATAGTCAGACTCCACAGTAGATTAAGCCACAATTGCTTGTAATAAAAATTACGTTTTATATTTGTTTTTGGCGTTTCGGTTTCTACTAAGGAAATGGTTTTCTTCTTCTTCTTAAAGTGCCTATTCGTTCCGGATGTTGGCGATCATCACGGCTATCTTTACTTTGTTTACCGCAGCGCGGAAAAGTTCAGTGGTAGTTGTGGTTTTCAAAAGAGAAATAATTTTAAAATTTATAAAAAAAAAGTTGCAGATAAACCTAATTCTGATTTGTTTTGTGTTTATTATGTGTTTATGTATTGTGTATTGTATATGTATAGATGGTGTGCTGTATTATATTCTTGTTGCTGACTTCTTCTATTAGTTTTGGCAACCAGGGCCTGGTACATTCTACTTTACGTGTTTCTTCATTGAGTAAGATGACAGCTGCTTCTTTGATTTTTCTCTTTTTGTTTCTTTCATCGCTATTGATGCATATTTCCTACATGAACAAGAGAACAACCAAAGAAGCAGCTCTCATCTTACTCCATGAAGAAACATGTATCACAAAACCATCAGAAGAATGTAGCAGGCTCTGGTTTGTCAATACTACAAGAAGTCAACAAAAAGAGTATACCAACTTGTGACTTTGTGTATTTTGTGAAGTAGTTCTTTTGTTTTTAATGGAACAGAAAGGTCGATTAACAAGGGAGTGCTGAATGGATCAGTTTTTATATTCACCAATCTAAGGTGGCAACTCTTTTTCTATTACGTTAGAGAACTCTTTTTCTATTACGTTAGAGGTAATGGATTTTGACAAGAGCTATAAGTCATGCCGATGCAGTACACAAGTTTACCTGTTATTTACAAGGTCATAGCTCTTGTCAAAATCCATTACCTATATCATTAAATATTTCACATACCATGTTCTGCGTTATTATTAATGCACTTTCTCTTTTAGCTGAATTTTCTGGATAGGTTGATGGTATATTGAATATCCATTAAATTTTATATAATAATTCTTTGTGAAGTGCGATTCAGCTATGAGACATATATTTTTTCTGTATCTAAAACTATTTGAAGTTCTCGTTGATGTTATAGAAGACAATTGATATTCCATTCACTTATTTTTAGTTGCTAAGCCATTGTTTACTATTAGTATCACACCCTAGTTGTGGTTTTCAATGTTTGTCATTGTTTCATCTAATGCATTTAGTGTAACCAGTGGAAAGTTTCAACATAAACATATTTAATATTTTAATCAATTTTTCAATATTTTATTAGGTAATAGAATAAGTTATCATGCAATTATTCATCAGATAATATTATATTTATTTTTTAGGTACATGCACATGTTACAACACGTCTACCGCACCAAAAACTTTACTAAGCCCGGCCAATACGTGAAATGTTTCCATAACACGGATAAAGTTTTGACACTCCATAATCACTTCCCATTAAGTTGTATTGGAAGCGGTTGCACAAGCTATGCCATAGAAACCGAAGACGCACAACTACATCACTATAGAGCGGACTGCGTGAAAACCCTCAAAAAAACTTGCGAGGAATTTAGAAAAACGAGGGTAATGGACACCACTATTTGGAAGTTCAAGGATCCGCTCGCAAATAGAGTCACGAAGACTCTTCGTACTTTGGGATTCTTCTCTAATAGTGAAAGTAATAATTCTATCAGAAAACGATGAAAGATATTATGTTTTAAATGATCATTATTTGAAAATAGTATCGGTAGTGTACTGATACTTAGTGATAAAAATGACAAAAAGATTGATATGTTTGTTTAGTTTAAAGAGTTTTATCCATTGATGATTATCTATTTGGATGATCCATTTGGTTGCTGGGAATTTATTATTAAAATTCCGGATTATTATATATACAGTATGTTTTGTAAATACTGGTAAATATTGGTTATTTACAATACTACACATACACACTATATATATATATATATATATATATATATATATATATATATATATATATATATATATATATATATATTTACACGTCCCGGCTATAGCTCCTCTTTTTAAAATGCGGTTATAAGTCGTCTTCCAGAAGGAGTGAATATCTTTAAAATTTCATTCGTGTATATTAAATTTTTAACCCTTCTTATAATGTATTGAAAATAAAAACATTAGAATTTTTTATACAATTACCAAATTAATACCAAATGGTCTTCTGTCTAAAATTACTATACATACCTCCTCCAATGTATATTAAACTAACAAAATAAATCTTTCCGCTATTCAAAATATACGTCAAAAACTACATTACGGTGGTTTACTCCTCCAAATATAAATCAGAGACTAAACGACGGCGGATAAGTAAACCAAATAATATATTATAGTGTGGAAACTCTTCAGGTATGTACTTATATAATTTTTATAAACTCCATCTACAGCTTCTGATGAAATGTTAGATCCCAATTATGTTCTCTTCGATGATTCTTCAGTAAGGGCAAAAACACTTTTAAAAGAGTAACATTCGTTGAGTACTCTGATATTGAAATGGATAACGGAAAAATATATTATTTTTTTTAATTTAGTTTTTAGAAAAAATCTTCAAGTTTTCCAGAAATAAATAATTGTTCTTCCCACTCTAGTTCAATAACAAGTTAACAAAGATGATTTAAATATCGAGATAAGTTTACTTTAAATATTTTAGCAATATATTTCAAAGCACATACTTTTTAGGAACAATCTAATTCACCTTCGTCTTCTGTCAGCCTAAATATCGATCAACGTGGAAGAAACTTGCAATATAAATATGAGGTCTTTAAAAAAATCTATTTTTTGTTACTTTTGTGAATCAGTTCTATTAAATTTTCCCAGGCATATAATACGATATTATTAAAGCGAATTAGAAGTTCAAATAATTTTGGTTTACCCTCCAAGAAGTAAAACGAGAATGCAATTGTTATTTGCTTTGAGCAAAAAGGAAAACTATTTATTAGGTTCAGCAAATTTAAAACCAGTTAGGAAAGGATCTGCAGATACAAACTACGTACCGTGTGACCACTGCTTCGGCATGGATTCTGCAAAAAACTTATGGCGTCACAGAAAAATATGTAATCCTGATTGAATAACCAGAAATTCCAGAAAAACCAGAAAATCACAAGCACAAAGTTTCTTATTAAGGCACCTTACATTGGACACATAATTATTTAAAAGAAGCTGTTTTTCATCGAATCCGAACAGATAATGTATTCCTCGTGGCTAAAACAGATCCGCTCATTTGTGCGTTTGGCTCAAGATATTTAAAGATCCATAGAGAACAATACTTTATACCAATGGCGTCAAGAAAAATAGGGAAAGTAGGTAAAATTCTTATCGAACTAAGAAAAAATAGTTTCTCAATTCAATTAAAACGCTCTTTGACTCATTGAAACCAGAATAATACGATTCTTTAGTCTTTCCTACTAAAATAGTTTCAAAACATAAGCAAAACTTTTAAAGCTGGATCATTTGCTAAAAATATTTTCACTATATAAAAACAGTGTTGTGATAATAGCACTTACGCATAATGCGAAAAAGTCTGAGTTTACTGTTAAAAGTGTCAATGCTAAAATAAAGACACTAAATACAAATAATATAAGTAAATTGGAAATATGATATTTCCAGTCAAGCTTCAAATGATTTACGACATGAAAAAATTAAACAAAGTGACGTTACTACCACTAGCAAGTGACCTTATGCTATTGAAAAACTATCTCCTCTGAATCACAAATGAATGTTGTGATAAATTACAAAAAAATAATAATAATATTAATTCTTACATGTTTCTGTTAGAAACTGTATGTATATTGCCGTCTAACCTTATTAAATAGAAGGCGCCCTGGTGAATTAGAAAGACAGATAACTCTGATTAACTATACAGAGTTACATTAGTGCTAAAGATAATCAATATTATGAAGAGTTTTCTGAACCAATTTCAGAAACCGAAAGAATTTTAATAAAAAGTTTTAAAATAATAGTAATAAGAAGTAAGAGGGGACGGGGTGTAGCCGTCCTAGGAAGTAAGGATGTACAAGAACATTTAGAAATGATTACAAAATGTAAAGATTTACTTTTAAAAATACCTAGATTTTATCTTTTTGGTAATCCAAAATTTGATAAACCAATTCGATGGTATAAAGTAATATCGGTTGGTTGGTTGCGAAAACATCTAGCAACGCTAACCCAGTTGTTTACAATATCGGAAAATGACATGGAGCAAACTGGCTTCATTTATGGGACCCACATTAGAAATCATCGATCCTTATATCGACTCCCCGATGACATTTATCAAACTGTAAAGATCTCTAAGTTGCTCTGTTAATGGAGAAAGGTAGAGCAGGTAAAAGGTTTAGAACAAATAGAGATAAATTTGGAAGAAGACATTATAAAAGATGATAATGGACATATTAATGAAGTATTTAAGGAACAAGAAAATGAAACCAATGATGTTATTGAATTAAAAGGTCCAGAAAGTTGTAATAGTGAAAAACAGGGAATAATGGATATGAAGACAAAAACAAAAAAGGGTTTTAGTTCCGTGAACAGAAACTTAAAAAAAACTAGCCAAAATGTATTTTAAAATCCACATCAAGCAAAAGAGACTCCCCAAAAAATCAGAATGTGACGATCTGATCTATTAAAAAATAAAATTTGGCTCAAAATAAAGGTAATCATTCAAAATGAATATAAAAAGTATTGAATGTCTTGAGTTTCCCTTAAATTTTTAGTTTTGTTTGTATTTTCATTTGTGTTTTATTTGTTTTTAAAACTATTAAAATTAAAGATTTATAACGAACATATATATAAGGTTCTTGAACTCCTAAATGGAGCATAGAGCTTCAGTGAAAACGCGCCATCGGGTTCTATTTTGCGCTAAGGCCTTCACCTCATTCCAAGACTTTCCTTGTTTTCTTATCTCGTCCATGATGGATCTTCTCCAAGTTTGTACTGGGCGACCTTTTTTTCGTTTTCCTTGGGGATTCCACTCTAGGGCAGTCTTTGCAATACTGGAGTTATTTTTTCGGAGTGTGTGACCGATCCAACCCCACTTTCTGGACTTTATTTCATTTACTACCCTCTTTTGTTTGGTCAGGTGTAGTAAATCTTCGTTTCTGATGATGTTAGGCCAGAAAATACGAACAATTCTTCGTAGACATTTATTAACAAAGACCTGCAGTTTGTCTGTAAGGGTTTTTGTCGCTTTCCAGGTTTCACATCCGTAAAGTAATACAGACATGACATTTGACTGGAATATGCGGATCTTTGTCCTCGTAGTGTAGTCTCCAGACCTCCAAATAGGGTTGAGCATGCTGAAAGCTTGTTGCGCTTTTCGTATCCTCATACGAATATCGTCTTCTGTACCTTCGCTTTCTGTTATGACACTTCCAAGATACGTAAAGTTTTCCACATTTTCAATCTGCATGTTATTAATGGTGAATAGCGTGTTGAATAACGAACATAGATACATGTTTTTTTTTTTTTCGTTAGCCCATGTTAGAAATTTACAAATGATTATCAATAGTATATATAGCCCTTAAATAATCAGATTCGATTACAATAAAACATTAGAATTTGTTTTTCGTTTTTACCATTAGTTTTATTGTGACCAAAAACCTCTCTACTTTGATTAAGATTTTTTGTTGAAATAGATATATACTTTAAAGTTTAAAGAAAGATTGGAAAACTATTAAGTAGTTTTTGAATCATTATTCCAGAGGAGGACTAAACCACCGTAATATAAAAATAAGAAGAACTAAGGTCGGTAAACTATAATTGGAATATACGTAACGAAATATACGCCGACACTGGCGACACAACAAGTAATGTGGCGATCATATTGAACTAAAATATTCAAACGTACAAAAACACGCAATAACTCACCCATCTGAAATTTTGCTCAATGGTTTAGAATGATGTTTCGACTTCTTTTATAATGATTGCGATAAGTCCTCCGTATACGGAGGACCCACCACATTGGAGGACCTATTCAATGTAAATTTCCTATATAAGGAGGAGCTATCCACTGGTGCGTATATATATATATATATATATATATATATATATATATATATATATATATATATATATATATAATTATAATCCGTTGTTTTGACCCAGCATGACTTGATTTTTAAGTTCCTTTCGTTTATGTATATGTCTCTGAACGACTGACGACTTACTGTGCATATATGTATCAACTTTAATAAATAAAATAATCGATGGGAGTTAAGTATACTTAAATAAAATAAGGATAAGTATCGATAACTCACATCTGCTCATATTTACTGATACGTTTGACTTTACAAGTTTGCAGCCTTTAGGAATATATGTTCCCAAAAATATAATATAAGTCTTAACAAAACACTTAAGCTCGAAGATGTTTATATAGATTTTTCTAAATAATCTGAGACAACACAGTATATATAAATTAATTAGCAATAATAGTTTTTTTTTTCATAATATCTCGGCGGGTTTATTTAATTATGGGGTTTGGTTGGTTTAAGTGCTACTCCAGCCAGAAGGGATGGAGTATCGCTTCATTTCGAACGTCTTCTTTATAGCAATCCATACTTTTCTGAGCTGTCTTGTAGCTTTCAATCCAGGTAAGGGGCATCTTCTTGTAATGTTTTATCCGTAATTAAATTAAATAGGAATTTAGATACTCCAACCATAAAGGATGGAGTATCACTTCTTTTAGAACGTCTCCTTTATAGCAATTCGTACTTTTCTGAGCTGTCAAGTAGCTTGCAACCCAGGTAAGGGGCATCTTCTTCTAATGTTTTATCCGTAATTAAATTAAATAGTAATTTACTGACGATGTCTCCCTGTATAATTTTGCCTGGGTATTGGTATGTCTCCACCAGTTTCATCGTTTTATTTTTTTTAATCCCTATGCAGGGTCGGCTTTCTGGGTTCATATCAATAATAACTCTTTTTAGAAACATCTCCTGCCTAATCGTCTTCCGCCAAGTCTTCTTCTACCTCCATCTCTTACTTTTTCCCAGAGTTTTCAACTCCTCAGCCATTCTTCGTATTTGGTGATTAGCATCTCGACGTTGAACATGCCGCAACTATCTTAATCTCTGGTTTACCACTTTGACATCAATTAGTGCCACAGCTAGAATCTCTACAATACGACCTTTTAACCTTTTTGTCATGAATTGATACATTTGATGACGCAGACGAACAACAAATGCTTAAACATTTATTTGTTTGATCTTATGGCAGTTCTATAGACCTTTATTTCCATTATTATGTTATACCGATTTTAGGAACTTAAAACTATTACTTTTCACAATAATTTCACAAACCAAAGTTATCATTTCATTTGTAATAGTCACGCCATCCTTCTGCTGGCTTCTTCTTCTTTTTAGCCACCTTAAAAGTTTTAAAAATCTATGTCCGGCCTATTTTCTTGCCACTCTTTATAAAGTTTTATCATGTTTATTGTTTCTTGATTTTCGTTTGACCACCACCAGATCTGTTTAATCTTAAATTTCTTTTCTGAAATTTTTCCAAGTATTTCAGTTGAAGTATCTGTATAACACTAACCATATTTCTCCCAATTGTATTATAATTTCCTTTTATGTTCCAATTTATTTTCTATTGTTTTTACTCTGAATAAACCTTACTTCTCATCTTTTAATACTTATCTAGAAGTTTAGAGGCATATTAGTTTAAGAATTTATTGGAACATTTACTTATCTATTAATGTACCCAGAATGTCTTTTTGTTGTACTCTGTCGAATATTATGAGCCGACGAATAACTGTTTATTGTATTTAATGCATCTATTTATTCCTTAGCCTTGCCGTTCATCTCTATTTAAAATTATTTTTCCCAAGTTCAGTTTTAATAGTGAAAACGAAAACCAAGTGGGAAGACACCATACACTGTAATTTAAACTAATACCCGCTACATATAAACAGTTACAAACTTTTCCAAGTTCCAACAATCATATTAAAATTATATACCTCAATATTTTAAATAATTTAAAAAAATCATTTTATTAAATTTTTAAGGCTCTGAAACTGATTCTTGTGGCATGTTTCTTGCCTTGAGCATGAAGTTAAATATTGTATTTATGTGGGTTTAAACCACATTTGTTTGTAATGAAAATTACATTTTACATTTGTTATCCTCTATTCTATCAGTTACAAAAATGGTAAATTCTACTTGTAATATTTTAAATGTAAGTAATTAAATAATAGATGATGTTCAAAGAAAATAATAAACAAAATATTTAAAATATAAAAAATATATAATTTTAAATTGTTACAATTTGGAAAACTTTATACATTTAACCCCGTTGACCGTGACTTACTTTGTAGAATTGCAACGTAGCGAATTAATTTTAATGTATAATTTTTATACATATTTATGACGTGTAATTATTTGAATTTGGTTTGTATTCTTCTGTGGTTGTTTGTCTTATTTTGGTTTTAAAAAGTAAGCTAAAGCTTAATATTTGTTTTTGTATATAAAATAAAATTATTTGTACTAATATAAAACAGTATCCTATATATTATTATGCATAGCGGTCAGTAGCCTTTTGGTTTTTTATATTTTTTATTTTTTAAATATGGATTCTTATTTTTGCCACTTTTTTTCATTAAATTGCCATTATGATATATTTTTAGGTATATACATCAAAGTAGTTTAAAGAATTAAGTATATATATATTAACATATTTATAATTTTATACTTGGATGTGATTTTAATGTGGATAAAACATACCTACGAACCAATTCTAATTACCAATATCTTGATAGATATCTTTTCCAATCTATTGAAATGTATTATGTTAAATAATTAATATTGTTAGGGCAGATATTTGTGTGAAATATATCCCGACTTTAAATGATCATTTAACAACATGGGCAAAAAGCAATATTGCTAAAAGAGGAAAGTAACTTCCAATTTATACTTTTTATAATGAACATTGAAGAGTCTCCATTTTTAAATGGAGTGACATAATTATACACCAATCTAAGAACGTGACATAATAGTTTTCAAATGCGGTATTACTTCACATGCTCCCATTTAAAATAATTTTACAAAATAGCGCCCTTCGACTATTTCTAATGACTACGCCATTAAAATGTGAAAGCAATGTATAGGTGCCTTAGCTCAATTTTCCAAAAGTTTACTCATAATCACTCACACTCAGTTCCAAATAACTAGTAAATTTAGTAATTATTTTTGGACTATGCTGGTCAAATTTTGACCTAGACTGAAAGTGGCTTGAAGTTATTATACAACCAAGTATATGTGCTTATAGCCAATATTAATTGTAACTTGGTATGTCTTTAACCTAGTTTGACGCATTACGATGTGTACGAATTTAAAAGTTATAAAATTAGTAAAATAAAAGCTTGCTAAGTATAGCTCTAGTCATATCTGAATAGAGCTGATATTTTAAAAACAGATAAATAGCGATTTTTGAAACTATTCAACTATATCAAACAAAGTTAACAGCACAAATAAAACAAATGTTTATTAAAATGTGTAAAAATTATAATAACACGTAAATTTTATGGTTTTAGTAAAGTATATACTTCCATTATACATGACTGTTCTTTTTAAATTGCAAAATATGCAACCTTGGG